AAATGTTTATTTATTTTTGGGAGAGAGAAAGAGACAGAGCATGAATGGGGGGGGATGCAGAGAGAAAGAGGGGGGACACAGTCTTGAAGCAGGCTCCAGGCTCTGATCTGTCAGCACAGAGCCTGACACATTGCTCGAACTCACAAACTGTGAGATCATGACTGAGCCAAAGTCAGTTGCTTAACTGACTGAGCCACTTAGATACCCCAGTTCTTAAATTTTTAGATCAAAATTTTAAAACTAAACTTCAGGGCTTCTCTTAGATACTTGACTTTAGCCAGACTTAACTGCTTTGACTACCTTATGGCCTGTCTCCCGTCCTGATTCTCCATCACAACTAAACATTAGTACTGCTAGTTAAATATCCAGATCTTTTCTGCTCTTCCTGAATTCCTGAAAATCTATCACTGGTCTTTCCCTATACCAAGGATTTGGGACAAAAGCTAGCCGCCTTCAGATATGGACCCATTCACCTTGCTTTGTTTAGACAGCATGCCCTCTTACATTGGAAGCTACTTCTACTCATAAGTTCTGGACAAATGTTATCAGTCTATGATTACAGCCAAATAATAAGATACAATTTAAAGTTATCAACTCATTTCACTTTTTGTAAAACTAATTTGTTCTATCAGGAAGGAAAGAAATGGTGGAAAATCTATTGAGACCATTAAAAGCATTTTTTGGCAAGACCTCACTCTTGTGTCCTAGTCATATACAGCTATGATTCTGGAGGGTCTTGTCTTGCCTTTTTCCTTTCCTTTCCTTTTCTTTTCTTTTCTTTTCTTTTCTTTTCTTTTCTTTTCTTTTCTTTTCTTTTCTTTTCTTTTCTTTTCTTTTCTTTTTTCTCTTCTCTTCTTTCCTCTCCTCTCCTCTCCTCTCCTCTCCTCTCCTCTCCTCTCCTCTCCTCTCTTCTCCTCTCTCTCTGATCAGATACAAAGGAGCCAGGTCTCTACTTCCTTACATTTCTAGCTTCCAAGAAACAGTTTTGAACCTTAAATCCATCTCTGCCATTGTAACCAGCAATTTTTTGCAACTACTATGAAAGGCAGTCTTAGAAAATTATGGTCAATCTTTTTAGCATTTCTTGTAGTCCTAAGGATTCACACAAAACATAAACATTTGACACCTGAACAACGCAAGGGTTAGGGATACAGATACCCCTCATCCTACAGTTGAAAATCCACATATAGTTCTTTACTCCTCCAAAACTCAATAGTCTGCTGTTGACCAGAAGCCTTACTGATGACATATACACTAGTTAAGACATATTTTGTATGTTACATGTATTATATACTGTATTCTTATAATAAAGTATCCTAGAGAAAAGAAAATGTTATTAAGAAAATAATAAGGAGGTGTGCCTGGGTGGCTCAGTTGGTTAAGTATCTGACTTTTGATATCAGCTCAGGTCATAAGCTCAGTGTCCTGGAATTGAGCCTTGAGTTGGGCTGTACACTGAAGTGTGGATCCTGCTAGGGATTCTCTTTCTCTCTCTCTCTCTCTTACTCTCTCACTCTCTCCCTGTACCCCTCTCTCTTGTTCACATTCACTTTATCTCTCTAAAAAAATCATAAGGAAAATAAAATACATTTACAGTACTGTACTATAAAATTCCATTATCAGTGGACGCATGCAGTTCAAACCAGTGTTATTCAGGAGTCACTGAGTTAGATTAAAGCCCTGATTTCTCAAAGAGGTGTATATACAAAGGGGAGATGAGAGAAACATTAAAGGGCAAAAATAAATTTTTTAAATTGCTATTTGAATTTATTTTTAATTAATTTATTAATTTAAACTTTTTTATTTTGAAATAATTATAAATTCACAGAGAATTGTAAAAATCATATTGGGAGGTCCCATGTAGCATTCACCCCATTTTCCCCAAAGATTAAATCTTATGTAACTGTAGTACAATATCAAAACAAGAAAACTGATATTTAAAGAAACATATTTACCATACAATCCAGCAACTGAAGTGGAAATCTGTACATGAATGTCCATAGCAACTTTATTTGTTTATTTTTTAAACAAACTGCCAAACTCTCTTCCAGATTGGGTGGGTCATTGTACTTTTCCATCAATGGTGTATGAGAAATCCAGTTTCTTTGTATCTTTTTCAGCATTTGCATTGCTTCCCCCCCCCGCCTTTTTTTTTTTATCATAGCCATTCTAATATGTGTATACTGATATCTGTGTTCTTAATTTTCATTTTCTAATGGCTAGAAATGTTGACAATCTTCCATGTGTTTATTTACTGTCTGTATAGCCTTTCTTGTGAAGTGTCTCATAACCACTTTTTTCCAATAGATTTTTGCTTTTTACTGTTGAATTTGAGAGGTTTTTTTTCTAAATACACATCCTAGATTTTAGTCCTTTGTTAGTTTGTTTGCCAATATTTTCTCCTAGTCCAATTTGTCTTTTCATCCTCTTAACATGGTTTTTTTCCTTAAAAGCATTTTTAATTTTGATGAAGCCCTATTTATTGCTTTTTCTGTTATAGACCATTGCTATGGACTGAATATATACTCCCCCCACTCCCAAATTAGTATGTTGCAGCTTCATCTCCAAGGTGATGTTATTTGGAGATGGGGACCTGGAAGGTAATTACACTGTGGAGTGGAGCCCTGATGGATGAGATTAGTGTCTAGCTAAGAAGAAATACCAGAGAGCTGACCCTCTGCTGATACAAGGAGGATATGGCCGTCTGCAAAGTCCCTTACCAGAAGCTGACTATGTTGGCACCCTGATTTGGGGTTTTCCTGCCTCCAGAACTGTAACTAATGAATTTGTTGTTCAAGCCGCCCAGTCTATGGTATTCCGTTATGGCACCCTGAAATGACTGAGACATTCGTGCTTTTGATGTCATGTCTAAGAACTTTTTTAAATTATGGATTTAATTTCCTTAATAGTTACAGAGTGATTCATTTACCTGTTCTATTGAGTGAGTTGTGGCATTTGTGCTTTTTGAAAAATTGCTTCATTTCAGATAAGTTGTCAGATTTATGTGTGTAGAGTTCTTATTCACTTATCATTTTGATTTCTGCAGGATCTATAGTGATATATCCTGCTTCATTCCTGATATTAGAAATTTGTGGCTTCTCTTGATTCTTTGACAGTTTTACTAGAGGTTTTTTTTTTCTTTTTTTAAATTTATTTTTAATGTTTTATATATTTTTGAGACAGAGAGAGAGAGAGAGAGAGAGAATGAGAATGAGGAGGTGAGGGGCAGAGAGAGAGGGAGATACGGAATCCAAAGCAGGCTCCAGGCTCTGAGCTCACAGCACAGACCCTGATGCTGGGCTCAAACTCACAAACCATAAGATCATGACCTGAGCCAATATTCTACTGAACCACCCAGATGCCCCCCCCACCTTTTCTGTTTTCATTTTTATTGATATTTTTAAAGAGGTGAATTTCTGTTTCATTGATTTTCTCTATTTTTCTGTTTTAAATTTTATTAATTTTTGCTCTTTATTATTTCCTTCCTTCTGCATGCTTTGGGTTTGTTTTCTTCTTTTTCTAGGTTCTTGAGGTGGGAACTTAGATCATTAATTTGCAATTTTCCTCTTTCCTATTGTATGCCTTTAGTGTTATAAATTTCTCTCAGCATTGGTTTAACTGCCTCCCATAATTCAATGTTATTGACTGATGGTGGTGTTGATTTCTTCCATATACTTGCTGATTTTCTATCTCGTTGTTCTCTCATTTGTTAAGAGGGGGGTATTGTCATCTCCACCTCTAAGTGTGAATTTGTCCGTTTCTCCTTTCACGGCTACCAGTCGTTTTCCCCATCCACACACTCACTTTGCAGTTCTGATATTTGGAGCATGTACATTTGGGATTTCAGTGGTTTCTTGGGTGATTGAACCTTTTATCATTACGTAATGTCCTCCTCTGTCCTTAGCAGTTTTCTTCAATAAACTCTACTTCATTTCATATTAGTATAGGCACTTTATTTTCATTAATGTTTACATGGTATATCTTTCTATACTGATATATTTGAAGTGAGATTTTGCAGACAGCCTAGATTGGGTCATGATTCTTAATCTACCCTGCCAATGTTTATCTTTTAATTAGTATATTTAGGACATCTACATTTAGTGTAATTATTGATACGTTAGGGTTTATATCTGCTATTTTATTTGTTTTTAGTTTGTTCTGTCTATTTTTCTTTTATGTTTATTATTTCTGCCTTCCTGTCTGTTATTTAAACATCTTTTAATAAGTTTGTTTTGATTTATCTGTGGTGAGTTTGAGTGTCTTTGTATAGATTTATTTTAATAGCTGCATTATATTTTATATTATGTATTTATAACATTATGGTATACTAGTATCAACATTTTACCCATTTGAGTGAAGTATAGTAACCTTATTCCCCCTTAAGTCTCTTTGCCTTCCATCATTTTAATTATCTTAACTATTTCCTCTATATAGACCAAGAGTGATATCATACAATGTTATAATTGTTTTTTTCTGCTATTAAATCTAACTTTAAAAACTAAAGAGAAGGAAAGTCTATTGTATTTATCTGTGTATTTATTTTCCCATAGTTCTTTCTTCCTTGTTTATGTTCCAAGTTTCCTTTTTTTAATCATTTCCTTTCTGTTTCAATTGCCTTAGTCATTTTTCCTTAGTCATTCTTTCAGAGTACGTCTGGGGACAACACATTCACTTTAGTTCCCTTTTATCTGAAAATGTCTTAATTTTCCCTTTATTCCTAAAGGATATTTTTATTGGATATAGAATTCTGTGTTGACAGGTCTTTACCTTCAATACTTAAACAACATTATGGCTCTTCCTTCTAGCCTCCATGATTTCTGAAGAGAAATCCACTGTTATTTGAATTGTTATTCTCTAGAGATGAGGTGATATCTGCTGATTTTCTTTTCTTATTGAAGTTTGGATTTCCTTGTTCTTGTTTTGACAGCGATTTTTAATTGTAATCTGGAAATTTTGGATACTCTGTTACTTTAACTTTGTTAAATCCCTTGTTTCCACAGGTCTTCTCTAACACTGTGCAAGTGAAAAGGAGGTGCATCTAAATACTGTCAGGTAGAGATGGAAGTCCAATTCCTCTGTCAGTCTCTGTTGTCACTCCAGTGAGCAGAGTCACCTCATTGCTGTGAAGGTGTTGAACTTCTGGTTCCCCAACAGGCCTCTGCTGACACCATCTAGCAGTAGGGGAAGGGATGCCTCATTATCACTCAAAAGAGTGGAAGTCTAGGTTTATCATGTTCTGGCTACTGATAGGAGACTGTTAACACCTGAAAGATTTGGAAGCCCAGGCTCCCTACTTGACTTCTCTGATATCATCCCAGGGCAGAGTGGTGTGTGTGTGTGTGTGTGTGTGTGTGTGTGTGTGTGTGTGAGTGAGTGAGGGGCGTGCCAATTATAGCAGGGTGATAAGGAGTAAATCTAGGCTTCCCTTGTAGCCTCTGATGATGTGTGTAGGTCCAGTTTTTCCCATGGTGTTAGGCTGGAGTAGGGCAGTTATTGTCTCAAAATATTCTGTCTTACTAGGTTTCCCCTCTCCTGGTCCTTTGGCTGGACAAAGCAGATATTTTTTAGTGCTTTTTGTTTGCATTTATTAGTGTTTCTAGATTGTAGGCTTCTCTAACACCCAGTGTAGGCATGTGAGGCAAAAAGAAAACATAGAGAACTTCCTTCTCTGTTATTCCTTGGGTCTCAAAGTCTGTAGCTAATTTCTTCTCTTCTCTTCTCCGAGTCGTCTCCCTGTATTTCAGAGTTTTTAGTTGTACTTAGCAGTAGGAATAGGGACAAGTATATCTACTACATGTTATCCAGAACTGGAAGCCCTATAAATGCCCTTTTAAATGTTTCTTTTTGTATATGTTTTATACCAGTCATATAACATTAATATAATAATACATACATTAAATTACAAAAAAACCCATACAAACATATATGTCAAAATGCTCAATTTTATTATTTTTTTTATAATGGGGTGCATACTCAAATGCAGATTGCAGACCACTGGTGTAATCACAACAGTGTAAACTCATTTCTTGGATTGCCACTTCTACTAACTTGTGTGATTTGGAGCATTTTCTTTTTCACCTCTAGCATGAAACAATTTAGTAAGATGATCTTTAATAACACATCTACCTCTAATATTCGGCAAATAATAACAGGTAGTATTCCTTCCAAAATATAAAATACCTCATGAAAATTGTTTCCTTTACTTATGGTTTCTTTAAAGCATTTTTTAAATCCTGAAAAAATATTCATTCCCTCAAGCGTAAAATTTTATCCAATTTGTAATATAATAACTTAATCAAGATTGATCTCATAAATCTAATTGTTACTAAAAAACAGCAAAATAGATTTGATTAAAAAGAGTCTATTCTAATTTTCAGTGAATTGTTAAGTTCAGGGTTGCATTATCTTATTAAGTAATTTAGTATTTTTCCTTGACATTTTTCAGTAATACACTCCTCTCCCACACTTTTTGGATGGAACTAAAAAGGTCAAAAATTGGCAAGAGAGGCTATTGTACTCTGTGCCTACTGGTCTAAAAAAATAGACCATTGTCTTTTGTGCTCTGTATGTATACATAAAATATGTTCACTCTGCCCTAGCACATTATATGCTACTATCTTGGTTTGCTAAGTGCTGCCATAACAAAATATTACAGACTAGGTGGCTTAAGTCACAGAAATTTACTTTCTCCTCGTTCTGGAGACTGGAAGCCCCCCACAGCCATCCTGGCAGGATTGGTTTCTCTTAAGGCATCCTTGGCTTGCAGATGCCTGTGTCCCTGGTGCCTTTTCCCATGATCATCTCTCTGGGCATGCATGCCTCTAGTGGCTTTCCATGTTCTTTTTATTTCCTCTTATTAGGATACCATTCAGATTGGATTAGGGCCCACCCTAACAGCCTCTTTTTAACTTAACGGCCCCATCTCCAAATACAGCCACCTTCTGGGGTACTGGCGGGTTAAGGCTTCAACATATGATTTTTTTAAAGTTTATTTTGAGAGCGGGGGCAGGGAGGGAGGAACAGAGAGAAAACAAGTGTGGGAGAGGCAGAAACTTAGGGAGAGAGAGAATCCCAGGCAGACTCCACATCTAATGCAGGGCTCGATCTCACAAACCATGAGATTATGACCTGCACTGAAATCAAGAGTCTGACTGAGCTACCCAAGTGCCCCAACATATGAGTTTTGGTAGGGACATAATTAAGTCCCTAATAGCCACATTTACCATTCTGCTTTAAAAAAATAAATACTATGAGTTAAGATTTTGAGATGAGTCTGAGAAGAACTGTTTTACAATAACCATAGCTTTAGTTTGGGTAATACAGTGCAATGGAGTGTGTGTGTGTGTGTGTGTGTGTGTGTGTGTGTTGTGTGTGTGTGTGATACTTGTTCAAAAGCAGCTAGCCATCCCCAGGTTGTTTCAAGGCTGCAGGCTGCCAAAGTGCTTCACAGATATCCAGTTTAACAGTACCTGAGTTGGGGCACCTGGGTGGCTCAGTCGGTTAAACACCGACTTTGGCTTTGGTCATGATCTCACGGTTTGTGGGTTTGAGCCCCTCATGTGTTTGAGCCCCTCGTGGGCCCATGTGCCGACAGCCAGCTCAGAGCCTGGAGCCTGCTTCAGATTCTGTGTTTCCCTGTCTCTCTGACCCTCCCCTGCTCACGCGCTCACTCTCTCTCTCTCTCAGAAATAAATAAAACATTAAAAAAAAAATCCAACAACCAAGAACAGTACCTAAGAGTACAGATCAGTTAGAGATATTATACTGACATAATCTGGGGACAAACCAAGCGAATTTTCTAGGCAAAATAGAATAGTGTTGTTTAATTAAGTTTTAAACTAAAACTTGGATTATTTAATCAGTGTGTCATTACTCAATAATCTATGACTTTATAGTTATTGATTCATTATATTGTATACCTGAAACTAATGTTACATGGTGTGTCAACCGTACTTTAATAAAAAATACAAAAAATAAAAGTAAAAGTAATCTATAACTAAGTTTGAGTATTAGAATCAGTTTATTAAAGTAGAAAGTTTTCATTTAACATAACTTACTAGATTATAAACATTTTAAATGTCCTTTATCCATCTGCTTTTGAACCATGTGCTTATCAGTTTTGAAGTACTATACTTTAACATTAAGAAAATTAGATTGGCACTTATATTTCTAGCCAATTAACAAAAAGTATGGTTGGAAAGTAGCAAAGCAAATACTTTACAATTTCACTTGTCAGTGATATTTCATGAAGTTAATTAATTTCTGTCATAATAAAATACAGTAAAAGTATATGTATATATTTATATTCTATTACTTTCCAAATATAGCATACATCACTGTTTTGATTTCTGACAGCAGAGCTGATGTTCTCCTGAGGTGTCAAATTTGATTTGAATATTCAATTTAAAAAACCTGTAAAATGTCTTGCTACTTTAAAAAATGAGTTTTTAGATTTTATGTCAGCTAAATGTATTTCACCATCATGAGTTCTTTGAAATTTTGTGCATCTTATAAATTATTCCATTTTAATATCCTCTATATAGAATCCTTGTTAGCAGAGTCAATCCCTCCTACAATTTATTAGTCTTATTTGTATTTTTTTCTTGTAACTACATTTCTAAATCTTTCAGTTTATGAATATATTTTCTGCCCAAGAATTAGTGCTTAATTCACATTAAAAAAATTGTCACCCTCCCAGAAAAAGAAAGTATATGTTCAATTATAGGGACTCAGAAACTATATTCTAGAATATTCTACAGCCATCACAAATGTTGCTGAAAAATATTTAAGGATTCTAGAATAATACTTGGTATATTAAATTTAAAAATCAGATTAACAACAATATTTTTAATATGATTCCACTTAATTTTAACTCTGAGTTAGATTTATAAATAATTTTTTAACTTACATTTTTGTTTTCTCCTAATATTTTTAAAATTAATATGTATTACTTTTATAGTCAGGAAAATAACAATACATATTATTCCACGCTGAGGTGGTTGATTTTTGGAAAGCCATTAGATTATGTTATCTATTTGTTTTTTGGAAGAGTTTTATTTTTTTATTTTTTACTTTTTTAAATGTTTTATTTATTCCTGAGAGAGAGAGAGAGAGAGACAGCATGAGTAGGGGAGGGTCAGAGAGAGAGGGAGATACAGAATCTGAAACAGGCTCCAGGCTCTTAGCTGGCTGTCAGCAGAGAGCCTATTGCGGGGCTCTAACCTGCAAACCACGAGATCATCACCTGAGCCAAAATCGGAGGCTTAACCGACTGAGCTACTCAGGCGCCCCTGGAAGCGTTTTAAACTCAAGTCATTGACTCATTCAGTAAGCAGTTATTGAACTATTACCAAGTATCAGCATCTATTCTATATCAGGTATGGTTCTGGAGACACTTGAGAAGGGATATGTGGACATGGTTATAAAATGGTTCCTACAGGTATAGGGTGCAAGCAAAATCAATACTATGTTATGGGTGCTAGGGTAACAGTCCTAAGAAATTCCTGTAAGTGTATCTGCACAGAGTAGCTAACTATGTCAATCTGTGTGGGTCTGACTAGATCACAAGAATAGAATTTGTCTGAATCTCATTAACTGAGACCTACAAGGAAATGTCTATCGGGAGGCACCTGGGATAGCTCAGTCAGTTAGGCATCTGACTTCAGCTCAGGTCATGATCTCACAGTTCATGGGTTCGAGCCATGTGTCCGGCTCTGTGCTGACAGCTCAGATCTTGGAGACTGCTTCGGATTCTGTGTCTCCCTCTGTCTCTGCCTCTCCCCTGCTTGTACTCTGTCTCTGTCTCTCTCAAAAATAAATAAACATTTAAAAAAAGAAGAAGAAGAAAGGAACTGCCTGTCTGAATTAGAGTTGGTCTCTGTAACTTGGGCTTTTGAATAGGGTCTATATAATAGACTACTACCTTTTACTGTTTATAAATTTTTAATCTTCAAAGTGTAGTTGAACAGTTTATTCCAAAAGCACATTAATAAGCATTTATTCTGTACTGGTACTGAGGGATAGAAGGTAAATAAAACAAAGAGTCTTGCTCTCAGGAAATTTAGAGTGTAAATCAAGAGTTTTTCCATATCTTGTGTAATATGGACACCTGTGATAATTTCATCTAAAATTTTGTTTAAAATCTGATAATATTGAAATAAGTTTGAAATTTTTTTAATGTTTATTTATTTTTGAGGGAGAGTGAGAGAGCAAGGGAGGGACAGATTGAGAGAGAGAGAGAGAGAGAGAAAGAGAGAGAGGAAGACACAGAATGTGAAGCAGGTTCCAGGCTCTGAGCTGTCGGCACAGAACCTGACATGGGGTTGAACTCACGAACTGCAGGATCATGACCTGAGCGGAAGTCGGAGGCTTAATGACCTGAGCCACGCAAGTGTCCCTGAAATCATTATTATACTATATGTTAACTAACTTGGGTTTAAATAAAATTAATAATAATAATTAAATTAAAAAATAAAATCAGATGATAAGAATTAGGTATTCCTAATTTCATGGTTTTCATTCTTTTGTTTGGCCTGTGAAGAAGGTTAAAGTTAAATGTTACAGCAGAAATCATGGATATTAGCTAAAATGTTTGTGCTACTTATTTATATTTATTTTTCCATTCATTAAAATAGTTTGTTTTTTGGAAGGACACAGATGAAACATCATTAATTAAAATTATATAAATACTTTTTATCACCTAATTATGAAGTATTTAATATACTATATAAAAATAAAGAAATGTATTTGATAAATAAAGGTTAAGATGACTCTTCCTCACTGATGATTTAAATTGTTTATTTCTCCCAAGCAAGTAAAATTTATTTCAATAACTAAATTTTTAAAAAGTTCAACTTGTGAGGCACCTGGTGGTTTAGCCATTAAGCATCCAACTTCACCTCAGGTTATGATCTCACACCTCTGCTGAGTTTGAGCCTGGCATCAGCTTCCAGCTCTCTGCCATCTGCACAGAGCCCACATTGAATCCTCTGTCCCCAATCTTTCTCTGCCCCTCCCCCATTCATTCTCTTAAAAAAAAAGTTCAACTTGTAAGGTCAAATATAGATGGCTATGTATTGAAATAAAGACAAAACAAAGATGTATTGGATAGTCATAGGATAGCTGTTGCATGGACAAACTAACAAGAATTTAAATCCCATTATCTACACTTGTCGACTTTGGCATTCAACCAGAGAAGCAAAGAGCAAAGGTTAAGGAATTCTAGAATGTTCTTTCATCCAAAAGAATATGTACATAATTTTTTTCTTAAGTACATTCTTAAGCAAATCTAAAATTTAATGATTCTTCATTTTTCAGTCTATGAGGACTTCAGTTTTCCTAGGCAGTCTGGTTGACTGAACAAAACAAAATAAATTATTTAAAGTACATATATCATATAAATATATGCAATTTATATATTTAAAATAAAAAGGTAATATTAATCAAGAAGTAAATATTCTACTTAACGCTGAGACAGAGATTTTTAGTTTGAATACATGTGAGATCAAGTTTGTAAATAATTAAATTTAAAGATACTAAAATATGGGAAAGTTTACTGTGGTTGCAACAATATGACTTTTTAGGTTTGTATGTTTAAGGATAAGAATAAAGAAAATACAGCATGATGATTAGATAAAATATAGCTTCAATTCCATAAATATGACCTCATTTTAATTATGCATCTTTTCATCCTGGTGCCATACAAATTTTACAGTAATATGTGGATTTTAGAAATAATGCCATTTAAAATTTTTCTAAGCCAAGTAAAGCAAATTATTTTTTCTTAAAGTATTAAAACTATTTTTCCTGGTTGTGTGTGTCACTAAGAAGTAAATCTGCCAGATTCTTTCCCTTAAAAATTTCATTTTCCAAATCAAGCATCAGAAACCACACACAAGAAATTTCAGCTCAAAAAAATTTTTTTCCAGGAAGGAACCCAAAAAGTAACTTTGGATTAA